AGCTGTTTGAAAGACTTAAGGTTTAACTTTGTGTGTAGATATTGACAAGGTTTAACCTTGTGTGTAGATATTGACTGCGAAGACTCTTTGAACTTCTCGAGACATTGGCTCGTCAATCCTCTAAGTTCAAGGGGAGTTTGTAACTTCCAGCTGGCTGATAGCGAGCGTTAATTTGTTAGTGAATCTTATAAGTGAAACTATGAGCGAACCTTCTAGCACTCTCGGGCGAGCACTATATCAGCAAAATTATGAATCAATCATAACAAAACAAAACGATTGGAAAACATAAGTAGGACAACTTATAAGTCCATAGTATCCAACAAAAACTTTCTTGTGGCAAACAAGAAGAAACGCAGTTACTAAACTGGATATAAACAAAATTATCTACGGTAACGCAAAATTCCCGGTGGTCAAGGTGTTCCGGGTAATTTGTAAAGACCGCACAGGTCTTAAGAGGAAAATTTTAGTTTTTAGAGTGGGATAAACGTTTAAATTGTAACAAACAAAATCCTGTATATGTTGTGCTTCAAGGGCAGAGTTATTTTAACTTTTTTTCATGACCTTGTTATCTTCAAACCCCGGTCAAGCATATAGTAGCTGATCGAACGAGATCTCTTCATTTTGTAAGCAATGACATAATTTCCTTTGATTTTTATCAAAAATCACGTGATTTTGCACATTTTTTTATTCAGTTACCAACGTTGGACGCCCTGTACGCACGTCTTCCTTGCGTGATGTAAATGAAAATGGCTTTCCATGAGTGGAATTAAATAAAGTCTAAGACAATCACAAAATTATTTGCGCCGCTTTGCTTGTTTTACTTTCATGTTGTAAAACGTCGATCCAGAACAGTTTTGTCCAGCGTACTATTGACGTCGACCGGCAATTTTAGCTGTTAACTATTATATCAACTATCTATTACATCTGCAAAGAATAATTTAATTACCCAGGCATTTTGTTTTATGTTTTACCTTTTCCAGTGTTCCTCCTAGGTTTGGTGTTGTGTATCGTTATATTCCACTGTCCGACAGGATTTTCTCCCCAGTAATGTAAACTGGTTACTGTCAAATTTTTAAAGGTCTTGAAACCGGCCACACTGTCTAACGTCCGGGAATAAAACAGTTTGGACTGAGTTCCGTTCGGTGATTTCGAAACCATTTCCAGGTCACCTCGACGGGGAAAACTTAGACTGACTTCTGCTTGCATATGTTCCAGGTATTGAATGCTGCAATCGTCTTGCTTCAGATATAATGTGACGCGTAAGTCGCCACGCGGGGGAAAATCTAAACCAAAGGTACTTTTGAAAGAAAGAAACAAAGTTTAATTTAACAAAACCTTGTCTAGTTACGTAAACTCATGACATAGGTGTCAGTCAGTCGCACTATTAAAATTGAATAACTATGGAATTTTTATTGTAAGTTGAATTTGGGCAATTTCTTTAGCTATCAGTTAAAATTTTGGCTTGTTTTTATACGCTATCAGCAGATTTTGCAGTTCTCAGGTCTCGGCTATCAGTTAAAAAGGCTGTCAGTTAAGATTCCAAGCAATTCTAAGCTATCAGTTGAACCCAATCCAAAACCTCTTAAACTTGTTAGACTGAAATCGTAGAAGCTTTGGACAAAATCTGTATAATATATCTTAGACTAAAATGGTTATAAAATCACCATTTTTAGCCTCCGACACACAAATAAAGCTAAGTAACTTACATTACTTACAGGGAAAACATGAAGAGTGTACCGAACAATTCTTGGAGACCCGATTTAACTCGACTCAGTCTCATATAAACCATTAAACTGTGTTATAGCGTAAGTAGCAATTTTATGTTGAAATACTTATCGTATTTGGAACGCC